ACAATAAATCAAAATATTTATAGGCCTATTGTGATTCGTTGGAGGTCCCAAAGAATTATTTTTGGAAACATATACCCTGATCTGTCAAAGTTAGCCGATTGTTTTATCGTGAATTGAATAAAAAAAACGCAATTTTTTTATCGTTCGTACTATACCAAAACCTTCCAGATACCATCAAGGTCTGCAAACATAGCTCATATTGCGTAATATTAGTATGGACGTCAAAATACTGCTAAAACAAAACGAAATCTTGGAGACCCTTTAGATTATGTTATTTATATGATCGGTTATGAGTTTATAATGAAAGTGAATACAAATTATGTTGATAAAAAAGCGTTGTCATTACAGGCTGCACTTTGTAAATACATCTGTTTCACAAGCCACGCCACCTTTGGCGATATTATATAATCATTATATAATATTCATAGATAGTTTCTTTTGTTTACGTACTGGTTCCCAGATATGATCTCTGTGTTTCATCTCATAGAGACATAACTTGGGAATGTTACCAGTATAGAAACACTTAGTAGCGCCGAAAATTTAATTCTCAGGAAGACCAACAGTGAAGGTAGGAGTAGTACAGAATTTTAGTACAAGTTAAAACTCTTCTAAGTTCAGGGCATAAATGTTGAAAATATGCCGCACAGCCCTATATTTTGACCTTTGAATAAAATAGTAGTGCATATCAACTTTCCGTTCTAGGATATAATTTTTTATGTAACTTCATAGTAAAAGTGGCACAGTTTTAGCCGCAAAGGAAGTTCCTATGGAAAATTGCATTGTCAATATTTATAGAATTGCAACCTATATGGGAATATTAAATCAGCCACCTGTTTGCTGTTGAAGTTATTTCATTTTTTTTTTAAATAAAAAAAGCAATAGAAAGATATGGTAGTTAATATAATAGTTGATTTTGTAACGTAAAGGGACAAATATTTCATGCGTATTCAGGAAGAAAAAAAAACTTACATTCATTTAGGCTGTTGTTTCTGATTTTGTCAAACATTTTCTATGACTAACATTAACATTTTCACTGCGTCCAGATTCCTTGAAAAATATCTAATTCAACTGTATGTAACTTTCATCACTATATAAGGGCATTGATGTCATTAGGTAGCAGTTTTTTATTTTTTATTCTTTAGTCTTTGGACTCCAGCAGAAATCCGATGTTTTCAATCGAGTCACTTATCACTGCCGTACACATTATTGACTCCCACGTGACGTATTTGTGCTTTACATTTTGAGACGCGTTGGTGTCTTAAAGCAGACCCATTAGGGCTGATAGAAATTGTTGGACACGTTTTGGGGAGATAGAAATCGGACACTTTTTGGCAATTTGAAAATTTAAGTACACGTTTGAACAGAATAGGCGTGCTTCCACGAGGCGGACACGTTTGAGGGGATTGACACGAAAGAGTGTTACAAATATGACAGTCCCAATAGATTGATCGATATCGCCCTGGCTAAGATTGACTAAATAATGGAAAAAAATGAACACCCACTCTCCTTGTTATACTAGTTTCCCCAAGTGCAATACAGTTGTTAAACGTTAATGTCTTTCTAGTAAGAAGATTTGTTTCATTATCATATACATTACTCTACGTGTTTATTTCCGTCTTCTTTAATGCTAGAATAAAGTTAAACAATAAATGTAAAGTTGAACAAATGTGCATACTTATGTGATGCAAGGGACATATGCTTGTTATTACAATGGAAAGTAAAATATCAATAAATGCAACATTTGTATTTACATTAATTTGTTTTTTGACAATATCATTACTTACAGCTGGTGACAGTAGGAAACCAGCGTAATCTATATATAAATATAAGTAAATAACTAGTATGCGTAATTTGATAAATACGTTTTGTCGAATAAAAAATCAATCCATTAGATTTTTTACTTTCTCTTGACAAAACTTGTAGATAGCTGTTTAAAATTCGTCACTATGTAAATATTTATATAAATACTCATTAATCAGTGGTTGCCTAAGGCTTGATTGTTGCATTTTTTAGATATAAACTTCATTCGTGTAAGAACTGCAAATTTTAAATTCCACTCTGTGTACGTATTTTTCATTTCAGAATTGGATTGGAAGTTTCTGATGTTTTGCTAATTGGGCTGTTTAGTATCAGGAAGCACTTAGTGTTATGTAAAATCGTAAAAAAGCAGATAGGGTAATGATTTAAAATTAATTAAAATTATCTGTGTTCTATAATCATGTGATAATTATGAACAACAATGTTATAAAACGTGTTTATAATTAAAATCACGAATGAAAATGTACACATAGAAGGAAGGATTGATCTTAAAGATTTAATTGATAAAATTCCTTACTGTTTTAAGTGCGATGTTCACATCATTGATTACGGAAGCTGCAATAAATCGGTGGGGGCGATATAGTGTTAATAGCGATGTCTAAAGACCGCATCTAAAAACAGCATCATTGGCTTCAGGGATTTCACTATCATTATATATCATATCCTAGATAATACAGTTTTGTAACCTAGGAAACTGAAATAAAGGAACATTATCCATTTTTTCTGAAGAAGTGGGTTTTACTTTATGTACTTTTACAACGAGTAAAGAATTTGATAAGTTACCAACGCCAATTTGAAATTTGTTAAGGTATAACCCAAAACCTTTCAACAAAACTACCATTATAATGAAGTTTGTTTTATCTTATAATTAGTTTAACTTATACTAAGTCCTATATTCACCATGACTGCTTCTTCAAACATATGCTCATCGAGACAACACTGAAATGTAGGCTTAATAAAAACAAACAGAAGTATAGTAAAATAAGGCGATTGACAGAGAAAAGTCTTCATGTTTATTAAAAAATAGAAAATGTGATATGGCCACCGTTCAGTCATCTTTTGAAATCGAAAACACATCCACTAAATTCTTCTGATATTCATTTTTTGTGTTTTGTGTTTCAATTGTGTCTTATCATTTTGCTTAAAGCCTTCAAATTTATAGTACTAATAGAAGATGTGAAACTTCTCAATGTACATGCTGTATGATAGCTCCATTCTGGTATTCTGGTCATTTGATTCAGATATTAGCAACCGCCTCACCTATGAAGATATTAGAATACAAAGATGTCATTTGGAATGATGTATTAATGTGAATAAAAGATCTATATAGGTTGGTTATTGCTAAGTTTGTCTCGAAAACTATATGGGTTAAATGGTCAAATTTTTTTAACAGTGTCATATTTGACAGTAACATCATAAAAACGTGTCTGACTTTATGATAGAAAGTATCAACCTACTTGTATAAAGTTATCAATACAATCAGTGATAAAATAAATCAACTTCCTATTTGGTCATATAACTCTTCTTATATAACCTTGGCTTTCGAATATTCGGCTATGAGCGTTCCTGATGAAGGTAAATCCAGAAAAGCGCTTCGGACGCATGAAATGTATAAAGTGTTGTTTCCATTTTTTTGATTTTTTTTTAATGTGAAGCATTTTACTATTTTAACAATGTTTTGACTCTACTGGCTCTGAGAGTTCCTGAACAAATTTCCTTATACTTGATGCATAGGACAAACAGAATGAAACATCACTATATGAACTTTAATTCATGAAATTCAACTTTTTAAGAAAACGCACGTGTAGCTAGAAACGTAATATTGATGAACGTTCTGCATTATTTCAAGTCTCATCCTTTCTTTTCCAATTTACTACGCTCTGATAAAATTCCTAACATGCAAAAGAATTTTGCTTCCTTTTGACATGTTTCATCTTTCTTTTGATTCAATTATAAAGGTGCGAGATATTAAACTGCATTTCCTTGCAGATGTTGTACTAAATGTTATGTAATATATTTACTTCTCAACGATAACACAATTAGAGGTTGTCTGAATTCCGTCCCATGATACCGTGTTCCTTTTTTATTACTTTTCCCCCACAAATGAGTTGGGACTCTTAATTTGGACAATATATATATATATATGTGTGTGTAACTATGTGTGTTAAATCTGTAGAACATAGGAAAAATAAGTCTTTGTTTGGATCTGGTTGTTAATACATGTTTAAAATAAGGTTCACAATATAAAGGTGGGTTTTTTTGCAGGTTCATGTGTAAAGTCTCAAGCTTTCCTAATGAAATGAATTCTTTAGCTGGCAAGCGTCCTTTAATTAACCATGATGTGTTCGAAGTGTTTTGAAGCGAACAAAGTATAGTTGTATCCTCAACATCTCTTCTTCAACATACATTTGAACTCTAACTCAAGCGACTTTAGCATGACGGAAACACGACCTGAATAGAACCCATGTTTGAAACCTTTTTGACTCGGATTTTCTTTACAGTAATCAATGTAAATTGTATGAGACCGACTTGCGTGCGCGCTGCGCCATTGTCAACACATGATTCTTGAATATACTTCATTGGTTGCGCTCGAGTATAAAAGTTTGAAAAGTCAAAAATGTTTCATAGAATTTAAATCTAAAAGATCAGCGATCCTTCTTGTCTGAGATTATTTAGCCGATTTGTTTTAATTTGATTATATAATTGTTAATTGGAAACTTGCAAACAGTGAACTAAGGTCCATACATGTAGAATACATGTTACATAGAAAAAGGCAAAATACATGCTACATAGAAAAAAGTGGAATAAATGTCTGTTTTCATTGTAGCATATTTATATATTGTACAGCATACATCCATTCATACGTTACGTTCATTGACAATTCTTGTTAGGACAAATATATTGATTATTTGTAATCGTAAATCTCTCCTGAAAGTTTTATTTTCCACAACAAAGTAAATTTGCGTTGACATTTTATGTCATACACCCACTTGTCTGCATCTTAAAATAGAAAAATCATTAAATACAATAAATATTATGAGGAAATGTAATTCATTCTTTAGTAGAGAACATTATCCTAACTAAACAAAATACTCTCCCTGTAATAAATGTAAATAACCTGCACACAAAATATGACAAATGTAAACATATAAAAACTCATTCTTCCTTAAATTGTTATTTAACTTATAAAAGTTTAAATCGATCTGTAGTTGTATAACATGTCGATACATTGTTAACATATGTGTTATGTTAAATGAGGTACTGTGGTTATACATCAGTAGCGACTGAGGATAGTCAGTTAGTGCTATTTTGATGCTCGATCGATCTGTTCATTACAAAACAGTTAGATTGCGTTTTATATCTGTCTGATTGACACTTTCTGTTATTAACCATTTTAACACATACGTCATTTTATTACGGTGCGAATTTTGAGGAAATAGTTTGTAGTATTGTTTTAAGGAAAATATATTGGTATTTAGTTTTTTAAATTAAAAAAAACATTGGATTTTACAATGGCTTTGGAAGAAATAAAATCGGAATTAGGAGGTAAATGGAAATTAGACAGAAGTGAGAATTTCGACGAATTTCTTAAGGAATTGGGTGAGCATTTTTTTCTCTTATTTAAATGAATTTTTGTTCAAGCGAACTTATAAATCATAACGACGAAGAATATTTTTGTATTCAAAAAGTATAGAAATTTTCAGAAACTCTTTTGTTTGTGCTTCTATTTGAGAAAAGAACATTATTAAGGCCATTAGCTTTTTCAATTGGATTGTTTCAAGTCGGGGCCTTTTATAGCCGACTACACGGTTTGGGTTTTACTCAATGTTGAAGGCCGTACGGTTGTCTATAATTGCTTACATCCACTTCATTTGAACTTTGGTGGATAGTTGTCTCATTGGCAATCATACCACATCTCCTTTTTTATTATAAATAAAAAATATTTCGGTTGGCGACGAAAACTATAAGTAAAACATCTTTCATCTGAAAGAAATCATGTATTCAAATGTATATAAAATGATGTCACATACATAATGTATCATAACACGTAAATTTCACACCTTGTCCTCAATGTAAATATGTGAATAAACGGAGATGTATATGTAAATAACCAGAAGGCAGACATTGTTGGGAGATATTGTCTATACGGTGCAACAGAGTGGGGTTGTATTTGATGTGGAGGAGAATGGTGTCCTCCGCATGACTATAGATAGCCATAGCTTCGTTATGTAAATGTATTTATAAAAAAATTGATATCTCACTTTCAAGTGCTACAGTTCTAACATAATTTGAGCAAAGATGCTTGTAAAGACAACACAATAAATAATTTCATAAACTTTTAGAAAGGAAATGTTCAGAGGATTTAATTATATATGTCTGAGTCATAGAGAATGGTCTCCAGGTTCAACATATAGCCCGTTATCGTCAATGTAAATTTATACTTTTTTTTAAAACACGTAGACGATAACGGGTCTCTGACCTGAAACACAACCAGATGGTACGATAAAAGTCCTTACTTTTTATTCCTATGTTTTTATACATCACCATGCACCAATTTATTGTGTCTGGTTTTATCCACAGAAACAAATGAAAATGGGAAGCTAACAGCTATGAAAATTTTATTTATCTTTCTTTCTATTGATTGTTGTTGTTTGTTGTTGTTGTTGTTGTTGATTGTTGTTGTTGTTGTTGTTAGTTTTACATCCAGTGGAAACTATTTCATGAATGTTTAGAACGAGAGCAAATTAATAATTGATACAAAAGGTAGGTTCGGTAAGATTGAGGTAGACTGTGTTAAAGGTCAAGACATTTGGACTGTCACGGAAAATGACTGTACGTTGGATAGGGACAGATAGAAATTTCGCCTTGCAACATACCACGTACGGACCATTCTGATAATTGTTACAAGATCTATTTAGAATGCAGAGGCCGATACATTCTCTCTACACGATGCATCGGATTCAACATCTCTATTCGTACCGGACGTGCCTGCGTATTTATACATCCCGCAAAACAAAACGGACGTCCCACTTAAGCAAGGGTTTTACCGCCGGGACAAAGGGAGTCCGAGGGATAACTATATTTCTATATCCCAGTCAACCCTTGTGATACTTTTTCTATTAGAAAGTAAAATGGCGTTGTGACTTGTGGCCAAGGGTGCCATGTGACGTCTGAAGCTGAGAACGCAACTACGATTTTTTCTATATTCTGAGTTACATGTTGATCTGGAATTTTGATGTTATTTTATTTAACAAATCTTATTAGTTATCTAATGATTTAAAATTGATCTTGATCATATGTATTATAAAAATGCACAACAGAATAAATTGTATGCTCAGGTTGGAATTAAAATACTTTTCTTGTTATTTCCCCAAATTGAAATATACAATGATCGTTATTTCTTTTTAATGTTCATAAAAAGACAAGTTTCCAAATGTGAACACATCTGCTATATTCGTATACTTGAACAAGATTTTTAACAGCGTACAGTTGTCCGAGACGTAATACTAAACTGTCTTTGTAAAACGCCTGTTGAATAATCATTTGAAATTTTTTAATAACGACAATTAGATAACTTCGAAAGTTATGGGACGCTGTAATAAACTCGTTAAAATTATGATTACAGTAGAACAAACTGAGACTGACTGTAATTAAGTAAATATAATTGTTATTCCTCCGCATACTCCGCCTCATTCTCAAAGTTTGACGAATTCTTCTGACGGAATCTAATGGTAGTGAATTATGAAAACTGGTAAAACAAATAAAGGGGATTAAAAAGAAAAAAATTAATTTACAAACTTTTGAAACATTTATATTTGTACAATACTATCGTATAAATTACAGGTACAAATGTTCTGTCAAATCAAATTACATGTTGGTTTTTCTATTATTATTATGTGACTATCACCGCTAGTTAAAGTGCAAATTGTTGCGTGCAGTATTAACAGAAATAGTAACTTAAATTCGTGCAAACTGTGTTTATCAAACTTCAGTGTACTTTTAATCATTAAACTATTCACAAACTTTCAAAATAAAAAAAATAAAACCAAAAATAAATCAAAATAAATTTCTCTTTTAAATAAACGCTACAGTGCTATTGTATTGCAGTTCAATTTTATATATGTTAGTTCAAACGGAATATTTTATTATTTTATTCAATACATGCGGATGTTACATAATGAACACATTCATTGATATAAAAAATAATCAAAGTGAAATACACTCGGGTTCAAAAAGTGCATAATATTTTATCTATTTTCATAGCAGATTTCATTAAGGAAGTTGTTTAAGAATTAATCGACGGCATATGCAAGAAATGAAATAATAAATAAAGATTATGAAGTGCCATATACAGAAAAAAAATTCTTGACTATGATCACCTTCACAGTTTCCCTAAATGACTAATTTTTATTTGAATATCCTTGCATTAAAATGCATTGTCTTTCCCAGTTAAAACATTTAATAATAAACCTTTAACAGTTTAAAACGAATACAATACACAGTAAAGGGGCAATAAACACAAAAATAGATGACCATCTTCATAGTTTCCGCAACTTTCTTATTTTCATCTGTATATCATTGAGCACGGTTAAACGCGTTCATTTTCACAGTTAACATTTCAAATTTTTTACAAATAACAAACATTTTATAGTTTTAAACGGTATAGTGGTAACAAATAAAATAATATAAGATGTCAAAATGGTGCTTGCCCGAATGCTTAAATGGAAACGAAATACAAAGCTTAAACTTAGAATATAAAAGGACAGAGGTATGCTTTACTGAATGCATTTGTTATTTAAGGTGAGAACCACAAACATGGCCGAAGCGAAATCCTAATTTGTTTATTGTTGTCATGCTTCTGTCAATTTCGAATTTACAATTCATTTTTTAGTAATTACCTTTACTTCTATTTAAGTCAAATAATTACAGGTACAAGGGTCCGCAAGATTCTCAAGAGATGATACCTCTGCTGGTAGCCTATAGGTTCTCGAGGGTAACATCTACTTTAACAAAGGCACTACTTAAATGATACATTTTGTCTGGTAATTTGTCAGACCATGAGTTATGTATAGAAAAGTAGAAGGTATGATAAGGCTACTTTTTGGTCCCTTGACTTGGAAAATCAAAAAAAGATTATAAACAGACTATCAAATAACATTCTTCAGATTTTCATAATAGTAACATTAATTTGTCAAGTTTCATTAAAGTTTTGAATTTTGTTTTACATGCTTGCATTAGAGTTTCAAACTTCTTGAATGAATAAAATACGATAAATTTATTTTTAGATATAAGCAACAGTTTTTCCCAATATATATTTTGCTACATTTATCATTGAAATAAACATCCCCCCCTCCCCCCCCCCACACACACACACAGTAAACATGGTTTTGCATGCCTGAAGTTCCTCATCTCTTTCTTTCTCTTCATACTATTTTTTACTAATGGCTACAATTGATACCACGCTGTGTATTTTAAGAATTAAACGTTTAAAATTACTTGTGTAAACATGCACGTTCAGAGTAAAACAAAAGAAAAATAATAGCACGAATTCCATGAGTGTAAAAACTGAGTACTTTTCGGTATCATGACACAACAACGAGACTGGGAAATAAGGGTATAATGAAGTAACATTATATAACTACCCTCGGTTATCTCTTGATTTGTTGATAAAACGTGATTTTAAGAAAATTACGATGATCGTTAATATTTAGCAATAAACAAAAGATGTATTTAATAGTATTTTATTACTGACAATTAAATTGTAGCTAATATATAAATGTTCTGCAAAAAACGCATACTTTCGACTGATTTTTAACTATTTTTGAAAATTTAAGGTAGCACTATAGGTACCTTAGACTTAAGTGTAATCTTAGGCGTTTTCTAAGTATAAGGGGTTTTATGCATACCACTTAAGTTTTATGGGCGTGACTTTAAACAACTAAGATTTTCCTAAAGAAATACTTAGTTTAAGATTTTTTATGCATACCACTTAGGTAAAAAGGGCGGAGTTTCCTTAACTTAAGTAGCTTTATGCATACGGGCCCAGGCTAAAATAAAGCGTAGGTACATTCATTCAGTCACGAACCCGCGGGTGTGTTCTAGTGATTTTGTAAGACTTGAATAGTTTTACTCTTAGTGCAATTTCGAGGACAAAATAATGGCTCCTATCATACCTCCTCATTTTATCATGAGTTGTAACTCCCTTAGGTCCAGTGGGAGGCTTTGATTACTCTGTTTTCACTCATTAAAATTGGTTTGCTCTAAAAATGCTGTTTTAGACTTTCGATTTTTTTTTATCTCCAGTGGACATGATAAAATTTATTTAAGAAAAACTTTCTGCGCGCACGGAATTCGATATCAATACGTTTTTTACTACTACTCTTACTCTAATTTTAGCTCAAACATGCGCACTATTTTGATTTGCAACTAAACTCTATAATCAACTTCAATGCTAACTCGAACTTACACTCGGTGTATGACTCGAATAGGAACTCTGTTAACTCAAACTCGACTTTTACTATAAATCTAACAGAACGATATTAGAATGCACTATATTTTAAATTTGTCATTTTATGGAGTTGCTTGTGTATGCTTTACGTCCAGTGGCATATATTACGCAACATCATCACGTGTGTAAGACACGCGTCACACAAATCAAATAATGGCATAACACGCATCTATTCCTTTAATGATCAGTGTAATTGCAATTGGATTTTACAAATCTATATTCATTTGAAATGAAACAAAATTATAGCTTATTTTTAAATAGATCAAATCTTTTATTAGTTTTAAAAACGTATTGGGTATAATCACCAAAATCATTATCTTAATCGTATCATGCTTGCAGTCGCAATATGTACGTTGTGGCTGGAATTTTGAAAAAAATGCCCTCGCATATTATTCTAATTTGACCAATCCGTCATCTTGTAATTATTCAATAATTTGATAGTATGCTTGAAATTACAATATGTACGTTGTGGCTGGAATTGATATTTTATAAACATGTGGGGCAGATGCGAATACAGGATTTTGAAGAAAAAAAAGGGGGGGATTAGTCAACGTTAGGAGTTTGACATGTTAAGTCTATGCATTTATTATATATGTAGCCCCATAAGGGGGCCCGGAATCTGCCCATTCCCACCTCTGATGCCGTCGTGTGTTATTCTATATAGCTTGTTTGCCCAATCCGTCATCTAGAAATTACTCTCAACGAGAAGCCATCATATTAAATTATTTACAATAATATTACTAGCTGGTATAATTTCATAAAATTGGTTACTAGACATTTTATTCCAATTATTTTCCCATAGACATAATAGATTGTAAACATATTCTCAAATATTTTATATAAAATCAGTATATGGTTTAGAGATCATTAAGTCGATTTTGGTATCCCGATCTACACCCGTGTTTCCATGGATGTCAATATGACTTAGCACCCAAAATGTCATATTTCAAAATATTTAAACTTCTCATAATGTCGAAGACTTGAAAATTAACAGCTGTTAAACCTTGGTAGTTTCTATGACATAAAGGATAAATGAGAGTCAGACCATATTCATTTCGATCTGACTATCAGAAGCAGGTCTAACGTTATCTGTAGCAGCAATAGGTCGACAATATATGCAACAGAAGGCAAACGGAGGATTGTACCTCATTCTGAATAGACAGCAATACATGCAACTCTGTGCTAATTAATCAGTGTCTAGATATCTTTGAAAGACAGATTTACTGGAATTAATTTCAGCATCGTGTTATTGAAACACAAGAGGAGTAGATCAGCCATTTTGCATTTACGAAGATCATATATTATCTATTCTGATGTAGGAAATTCCTTTGGAGATTCTTAACAAAGGGAATAACTGATTTCTTGTCAAACGTACTGCGATGCAGTTTTAAACAAATTCCAAATTGATGAATTTTATTTTCATGTTTTCTTCTTTCAAAAATGTCATTAAAGAAAGAATTGAGAACACAGGTGTAGGGATTGTCCAGAAATGCTCTAAGCAAAAGGATCTTGAGGTCAATATACAATATAAAATAAAAATAACTATGTATCTTTGTCGTATACCAAGTTCTATATAATTAACACTAAGTAAACTTGTCTCATTTTAATCCCAAGGCCATGTTTCATACAGTACATTTAAGTTGAGGATTCACAAAGGAGCTTTACGAAAGAAAACATGAAACAAAGATGTCGTATTTTTGTATAATTGACTTCAAGTATTTATTTCGGTATGACACAACGATGATCAGGCAATATTATATTTGAAAAATGTTACCTGTGTTAAACAGCAGTAACTCTAATATTGACCAAAGTTTTATGATTTTTTTTTACTGTAATAAAACTAAGGTTGTAATTCATGCAAACTTGGCCCAAACTATTATAAGTAGGTTGATCTAATTGTAGCTTTTGGATTTTAGGTTCTCAAATATTTCATATGTGTGGCTTCCCAAACATTTGATCTCGATGAACTGGAAGTAGACTAGCCCAGAAATAGGCGCCGTATGCACTAAAATCAGTGTTTTGTTCGGAACACTTGGAATTGAATTCGTCAATGATAATATTAAACTTCAAAAACAGATATGATACATGTAACAGTATGTATAATACAAGCTGGTTTGGCCAGTGCACGACAGTTGTATAAGAGAGGCAGATAATACCAAAGAGACATTCAAACTCATAAGTCGATGACAAACTTACAACGCCAAGACAAAAAAACGAGAAACGGCGAAAGATAAAAAGAAGGTCCACAAAACGCAATATAGAAAACTAAAGACTGAGCAACAAGAGCTCAACCGAAATCCAGGCGTTATCTCAGTAGCTACAAAAGTGTAAACAGATCCACGTGTATCAAACAAATATGTTAACCGTCATGCGAAAACTTATTTCAGAAACTAGTGAAAATTCAAACGTAGCTGGACGACATATACATTGAGTTGTGCATATTAGCATTTGGCTTTTAGACTAGGTGCTTTTCAATCACACGATGAAACAAAGAGTATGGAAAACAAATTGTATTACTTAATTATTATTAAAAAAAAGTCTATATGCTTTTTTTTTTTATAGATAACAAATACATCTACATTCTATGTTCATATATATATCCACTGATGTGTACCATACTTTTTGAAAAAAAAAATGTGTTTTTTTTTTGTAGGTTTAAATATTGTGTTTAGAAAATTAGCTGGAGCGGCAACTCCAACAGTGGAATTTACAGTTGAAGATGGCATTATTAAAATGATTTCTAAAGTTAGCTTTTTCAACCAAGTATTAACATTTGACCTAGATAAAGAACATGTACAATCGTTTGAGGGATCTGAAATGAATGTAAGTGAACGAAATCGGATACACACATTTTTATATTACTTTATCTTAATTATTATTATTTTTTATTTGGACGGGGTAGTAGATTCTGTCAATGAATCTGTTCCCCCGAACAAATCCTTGTACACCGGTAAAATGAATTTCAATAAAGCTTTTTGGAATCTTAATCTGGACTTCCTGGAACTTTCCCTTCAAATCTATTTATAGATTGATAAGAAGCGAAATGTATTGTCATCTAGATGCGCATCTAGTGCAGAAAAGTACCGTTAATATGTTATTGATGATATTTTTACCAATAGATATAAGAAGATGTGGTACAAAATGTATGAGTGCCAATGAGACAACTCTCCATCCAAGTCAAAATTTACAAAAGTAAACCATTATAGGTCAAAGTACGGTCTTCGACACGGAGCCTTGGCTCACACCAAACAGTAAGTTATAAAGGGCCCCAAAAATTACTAGTGTAAAACCATTCAAACGGGAAAACCAACGGTCTAATCTATATAAAAAACGAGAAACGAGAAACACTTATGAACCACATTAACACCACATCAAACCTTTATTACAAAATGCGTTGTAGTATTATTATTAGGATAAGCCATATAGCAGAACATTGGATAAGCTGTTTCTGTTTAACAAATTCGTGATTTCGACTTAAACCAGAGAACTAACTTCATACAATTTTCATACCGTAATTCATTGCGTAATTCCAAAGCATTCCTGATTAAATGGTACCACTATTAATAAAATTTTACAACTGAAAGCGTTAGCTTAATTTAGTATTGCATTTTAACATTTACCCCAGTTGCTTTATATTATTTCCGCTCACACAAATTATATATTATAGATGGAAGAACTGGAAATTCCGAAAACTTTTAATCTCATTAGTCTACCTAGCGAAAATGTGAATAAAACGTAGAGATAAAGAATGGCAGAAATTGAAAGTATGTCCTGTTGGCCATCACACTTCGATCCTATGTCTGGTCTTTATTGTGTCTGTTCGTTCGACGTTTTCATCTCATCTATCTTTATTTTCTCCGGAGATGATTTGAAACCAACGACTGCATTCCAATGTAACTATAGAAAATTTGTCCATGCTTTATGCATGATACATGTATCTGAAAATGCAAAACGTGGAATGTTTACTGTTAAATATCCTTCATCGGGTAAGATCGTATCGAAAGATTTTGAAAATCTATGACATTTGTAAACGTTTTAAGCGTAAAATTGAACTGCAGACAAAACCCGATTTTGCACAGTGAAATGAATGTACCAGAGTGTATAAATCACCATATCAAAATTATAATACTATTCTATTGCAAATCCTACACCAATAACAGAGGGTCTGCGGAAAAGGGGGTGGCCGGGGGGAAGTCGGTCCTTCATTTCTGTAATCTTTAATTTAATAGGATATTTTTCTCTTTTCTTTATGTGTTTGTCCATTATTCTATATTTTTTATGTTTTAACTCCCCATTATTTTGTTTTCATCATCTTTCTTATGTCCTTTATTTCTGTATTCTCCTCTTTTGTTGGCCCATTTTTCTGCTATATTGGCCTATTATTTTCTATTCTGTAAACCCTATCCAGACTATCATAACAATATTGTACAGTGTGACAATTCATTGTGAAATCATTTTACTGATCAATTATACTGCAGTGTAAAACAAGGTGGGAAGAAAGTAAACTAATAACGGAAGCAACACCAATGAACGAGAAACAGAAACCACAGACGTTCCAACGACAGAAACTTAATGATGAACTAGTACAGGTTTGTGTATATCGTATAAACTTAGCCATTATACTTATTTGTCCTTCAACAGGAATCCATTCCAAGTATCTCATTATTTGTTATAATGACATTGAATCCATTCTTTGACACATTAAGTCTAGCTATGTGTTATATAATTGTTTGCTGTAATTACATCACGATAAGTTTGTCAAACAAAAACATATAAAAGATTAAATACCAATTATACCAAACAACAAACGGTAACAACAAAGGAACGAACATGTTGTTGTCACTATCCGTTCTTTCACACTGATCATGTATCTAAAGTAAATCTATACTGTCTATCATGGAATTATTGAAACTGACAAAACTGCATAATCACTATACTATACTTATATCGAAAACGTTGTTGATAAGCAAATATTCAGTTGTAATTACATATGGTGAAATTTTGTAAAGACAGTAATTAAATTCGTAAAAATAACAAATCAATCATGTTTAATACTACTTTGTAATTCCAAAACCCAATTGTCCAAATTCAGATTCAGCTTAATAGGATGAAAACAATTCACACATTAGGCAATTGACAAAAAGACAAATGAACGCCATTATAGTCAAAATTATTGCAGCAGAAAGATAAAATGGCAGGTTAAACATAGTTTTACTATGTAAAACCAACCGTTAGACGTCTTGTTTTCAGAGTTTACTTACTAATAGTTAAAAAATGCATATGAATAGATAGATGATAATCCGATAATTAATGAATAAGTATATAATTTAGTACATGCAATGGTGTTACATGTGGCATGATTACCAATGAGACAACTATCCACCAAAGTTCAAATGAAGTGGATGTAAGCAATTATAGACAACCGTACGGCCTTCAACAATGAGAAAAACCCATACCGTATAGTCGGCTATAAAAGGGCCCGACATGAAAAATATGAAAAAAATCAATTCAGAAAACTAACGGCCTAATTTATAACAAAATAATTTATAAAAACAAATATGACAGACATCAACCAACGACAATCACTGAACTACAGGCTCCTGACTTGGGACAGGCACATAGTATGTGGCTGGCGGAGTTAACATGATTGAAGGCGCCAACCCTATACCTAACCTCGGACAGTGGTGTAACAGTACAACTTAATATTAACAAACTATAAAAATCAGTTGAAAAGGGCTTACTTTTCAGATCAATACAAAACAGGAAAACATCTAACAAAAACACAGATCGGACGTGTCATGGTATTTATACATCCCAAACAACAACAAGGACACAACACACAGAACTTAGAGTACTTGCTGTTTGTGACAGCTGTAATTTTTTCAAAAAATACTCGGCGTTTGTAATCAAAACAAATATCTTATTTCAGACTATGTTGGTTGGAGAGGTTAAATGTATACGGTATTTCAAACCAGTTAATTGAGGCTGATTCAGATTATATATGGTAGGTTCATTTATAGAAAAGTGTCATTGAATGCCATCAAGTGGAATTCAATTATATCATGTGTTTCTCAGAGATCAATTGTAAATAAAAACAGCATATTACTGTTAATTTCTTGTTATATCACAAAGTGTCTTAAACGAGAAAAAAAAACACATCTTCTCAACCAGTCACCTCAATTAATTTAATATGATTGATTGATTGATTGATTGGTGTTTTACACCACTTTCACCACTTTTGTGCAATTTCGTGGCGGTCAATTTTTATTGGTGGAGGAAGCCGGAGAGAACCACAGACCTTCGGTAGGAAAATTGACAATCCTAGTCAATTAAGATTGTCAATGGAGTCAGGCGCACCTGCCACGTGCGGGATTCGAACTCACAACCTCAGATGAACTAATTTATTATTGTTTATTGTTCATACAAATTTCCTTGAAATATATTATATAAACTTGACGATGTTTACAACGATTCTTCGTAAGGCCCTTAAGTAAAAAACACCAGTCAATAAAATGATAAATAAGTACGCCAACATATATTAACTTAATGCACACAGCATATTTCAGGATCACCCTTTTACGGGTAAATTCGAGTTTTAGAAATGTATTTTTAAGCCGTTTCATATAAACCATTGAAGAGATGGAAAGTCAAAATCGATACAGTTACAAATGTATACTGAATAGGTGGAGACATTGCTGCCATAGTACTAAGCCGTTAGTTTCCTCGTTTGAATTGATTTACATTGTCATTTCAGGGCCTTTTATAGCTGACTGTGCGGTATGGGCTTTGCTCATTGTTGAAGGCCGTACGGTGACCTATAGTTGTTAATTTCTGTGTCATTTGGTCTCTTGGGGAGAGTTGTCTCATTGGCAATCATACCAGATCTTCTTTTTTATAAGTAATCATTTCAGCACCGAATTACCGACTACAGAGCAAATTCAACAACATTTGCTAGGAAGAATGAAGAAAAAAACATGAGAAATGTTAATGCGTAATGGCATTTTTTTTATTTATTATATTTCATGTTAAAATTCTCGATTTTGATTGCTTAATACGAGGGAGATAATTTACTCTATCCCGTGGCTAATATTATATTACCATTCACAGAGATTTTGGACCAATTGTGCGCTTTGTTAATTAAAATGCGGATGATTGTTGTGTACAAGACGTCTTATTTATGACTTTGGATTTGAAATTTAATAGACAGTTATAACAGAACACTCAGTATAATAAAGTAAGTAACTGAAAGGGTGATAGAGCAGATTTTTACCCCTTGATAAATATTGTCAACCTTGGCTTCACCTCGATTGACAATGTTTTCTCGGGATAATAATTTGCTTTATAACCCTCTCAGCTAAATTTTATTTATATTTGCACTGTATGCACATAAACATATTTGTTGTTTTTTTTTTACAGGGTAAGAATATGTGATATTATTGAAGACCAGTGAGCTGTTGTTATTTGTGGTATGGACACTGCTTCGTCTACAAAAATAGTATATACGTGTACATAAAGCTATATGACTTTATTGCTGTACAAATGATGCCTAATTTAGCCTTATTCCACAGAAATATTGTATTTTTGTTTATACTTGGGACAAATGTATGTATGTCTTGATATTTTCACTTCATACTTATGATGTATTAGAATAAATGACCATTCGATAAATTTAAGTAATTTATATGCAATGGATTTTATTATTTTTATCAAATTTGATTAATAATTATGGAACGCTAAGAATGAAATCATTATAAGTATGCAGATCCTATCACCACCATTGACGTTTAGAAGGCATCTCTTAAAACTAAAAATAAATCTTCATAATAAATGAGGCACCACCGTACTTTTAGTAATCTTCAATATACAAATAAGGAAATGCTGTATGATTGGCAATGTGAAAACTATCCATCAGAGCACACCTTATGTACAAATCGACGAAAAACGTTGTTAGAATATTTACGAAAAAAATATTAAATCTAAACCAATTCGATATGATATGTAACAAGTCATATAAAATGGAATCTTTTCTTAAGATGTTATATTTTTTCAACGTCACTGATCCACATACATGTATAAGTCTTTGTTTTCTGTATGTGTCAATTAAGACACAAAAACTTTAAATAGTTCGATAAAGTCTGCGCTGAAATAACACGCAGCAAGAGTAACTACCTACCTACCTGTTTAAGCTTTCGGATTCCATCATTTAAAACATTTCTCATTAATTATTTGAAATTTACAATCTGTTTTATTACCAAAATGGACATGTATTTTCCTGTATTTTAACAAATGAAGATGTAAATTTTTTTAAGCAGTTATTCTTTTATCCGTGCGAACTCCTTGTCCAGTACATAGTAGTATTCTTAGAATATGTGTAGTTTGTCATCCCATTTAGAGAACATATACACTGGCATCGACATCATACTCTTGCCTAGAGATCGTAGAGTACAAGTGTTGATTCCCATGTCTATACTTGTAATTACCCGACTATTTTGGTGTCTTATTCCTATGCATGCAGCTCCATAACCGGCAAGCATACCGCTATCTACACCACCTCCTCCCCCTCCTTATCCACAGCCGCTAATACCATCATTCCCGCACATACCACTCCCGCTTATGCCACCGATAAGACTATGGTGACCTATAGCGATCAGACTTTGTTGTAATTGAAGTAATTGGTGCAAACAGTATGTAAGTTCTGTCTGTTATCAAATTTTTAAGTATAGTTGTTATACAAGATTTTGCTCTTGTTGCCGACCGGGCACCATCACAAAGCTGCTCCATTTGAGACCGGTGGTTGATCATTTGTTGATATATTAATTTACTAATTATATGTCAGGTCTATTCTATCAATGTAATAACCAGAACACAATCCTTCGTTTATGGCTTCTGCAGGAAAATATGTTGATATCTGTTTAACCCAAGGATAAGTTTTTTACTCTACGATATCATGGTCACGTGCCTATGAGATTTAAACATCTTTAAACTACTTTTTTTACATTTTAAAGAACTACAAATAATTGATTTTTATCATTTTTCTTTTAAAGTTATCTGCCATTTTCATATTTTACATATAAAAAAAAATGAATACACTTCACTGTGTAAATAATATGATCGAAATGCAAATTTTAGTCTAGACATATTTTATTGCAGCAGCGACTGTTTTTAATTCGAAAATAACTTGATGAAATGGTTTACCCATAATTTCTCATTAATCATCATTCGTTATTTTTAATTTGATTACAGATTTTGTTTTTGGGGGTGAATATGTAATGCATTTTGCCTTAAAAGTCTTTTATTGGTTTCTTTTGTACAATTCAATACCATTAAAAACATATATGACGATTAGGAGACAAAACAAAAAAATAACGCACACACAAACACACACACACACACATAACGGAAAACCACCGTAGATAGAGAAAATGTGACGGAGAAAAATGTTCAGCATGGTAAGATCTACTTTTGTCTATTTACAACATATCTACAAATAAGTTTCTTAGGCCGAAATCATCAATTGGGTCCCTTATTGGAGATATTGCCTTTTAATGATGATTTTTACCATTCTTTCATTTGTGCCTACTATCTTGAAGACTATAAAAGATATATAGAAAATTTAAAAGGCAAAAATAATCCATCCAACAAGGTCTGCAACTGAGTAAAATTGTTACTCTAATTCTTACCAGATTTATCCTTTTTTCTGACTTGTTGATTATTTTTATCTAATCAACATGTGGTTTGTTTGATCTCAGTTCTTCATTGGTCAAAATTCGATTATGATGTCAATTTTCTTGCTTTCCTCTGAATTTCCTATTGTGACGACGATGCCTGATGACGTCGCATAGAAAGAACACATCTTTTTGCAGATCATTCGAAAAGAAGGAACACGATTATCTGTATACCGTCTAAAAATCATTAGAGAAACAGATTCCACTACCAAATCTCTTGCATTACGATAGTTGTCCACTATCGACAGTTAAATTATATATATATATAAACACTCGGCGAACCTCGCGTTTGAAATATGAAAATTTAACTGTCTCGAGTGGATCAATATCGTATCACACTTGATGGAGTGGTATGATCTATATGGAAATCCTCAGTTGGCTCCTTATAAGAATTAGCATCCTCAACTGACGATTTTTACCATTATTTTACGTTTTTGGCTAATACTTTTAAACTACATAGAAAACTAAAGACTGAGCAACACGAACCTCACTAAAAAACCGGGGGTGATCTCATGTGTTCTGGAATGATTTGCAGATCCTACTCCACAAGTGGCACCCGTCATTGATAGATTGAATTTTAGAGAGCAGAAATGATCCATGAGGCAAGATCTACAAATAAGTTAATACTTCTGAAACTGTTGGTCAACTCTTTATTTGAGTTAACATGTTTTGGAAAGTGTCAATTGATGAGATGTACACAGAACTAGACGAGCAACACAGGCACTTTAGAGCCTCTAGTTAAATTTAAGCGGAAGGAAGCTATGTGCAACTCTTTTATAAAAGCTCCCTTAAACAGTATTTAAACATTTATGTAAGTGTTAGTGGTTGTAATTATTTTCTTTAGATCGATACAGATATCAATTAACCTTGCCTAAGCTCCCTTGATTTGGATTGACTTTTTGTATTGTATACAGATCTACCAGAAAAATGTATTGGTGTATGCATATCGTTGTAGAGTATGTTTTTAGTTTGAAAAGATAAGCTTGAAGTCTTATCTCGACATCATGGTGCAAAGTTGGCATTTTAATTTGAATTAAATAGATAGATTTTGGTTAACTAATACACAATTAAGTTGAATATCATACTATATATATAGCTGGCCATTCACCTATGGCTAAGGATGGTTCTGTATGCGCGATATCAACTGAACTTCTGCTAAATGCATAATCCGTAAGGAAACACGAATAATCTCCAAAGTATAAATACACAATTAATAATGTCTCGTATTTGGTACATGTTTACATCGTAATTCAATTTCAATGTATTCGTTATCAAAACCCGAGAAACTATTTAAACTTGCAATTTGACAATGTGCCTCTATGTTAGATAAAAGAGAGATGAAAGATATCAAAGGGACATTCAAAGTCATAAGTCGAAAATAAACTGACAACATCATGTCAAAAAAGGAAAAGGATCAAACAACAGTATACAAAACACAACATATAAGACCTAAAGACAGAACAACACGAATCCGGTAATAAGTCTTATTCGGTAGGTAACATTCTTAGAAAAGAGGATGGGAATGTGGTTACGACAATTAAAACATATCCGTCGTCGTCTGTGAAACATATATTCCATAACGATCAACTAAATTCGTGAGAGCGAATAGCTTCCTTGCAATTGTAAGCAGCAACCTTTATCAAGGAAATCACGCTAGGAAATACAAGCCCTGGAATAATGTATGAACTTGGACATATACACTCCATATGAAGGCGCTGCTGGAATGTTACTACATAGAAATGAAAAGTTCAATATTGAGAAGCTGAAATCATCTCTTTTGTCCTAAGGTTTTGTTCCAAGATGCTATAAATTTGAACCCAATGATAACTTTGTTGACTCTACGATATCATGGTCACATATCTTTTTACCAAAGTTAAACTACTTCTACTGAATCTGTTCTAAATTTGACTCCTCTACTAAGTACATAATCGTTTATGGTAAACTCCAAACTGCAAAATACACGATTATAAATGTCTCAAATTTGGCACATGTTTACAATGTTATCATAATATCTTAATTGTATTATGCTGAAAGTGACACCGCAAAGATTTAATCTTGCAATTTAAAGTGTGACCCGATATTATATGAAAACAACAATTTATAAATTCCATGTGCCCAAAACGCTTTTCTAGATTAACCTTCACCAGGAAAGCCCAAAGCCGAATATTTAAAAGCCTAGGATGTGTTCTAACCGACACATTTGAAGAACTATATAACCAAAAAAGTCCTCTAAATACAAGATGTTATAATATTTAACAGAGGATGACTTTATTGACTCTACGTTATCATGGTCACGCTCCTATTGGAGTTTATGTATTTCCTTTTTTTTCTCTCGTTACATTGATTTGTTTCCTTCGTTGATTTATGAGATTTGAAGTTCGTTTTAAAATACCTGTTGCCTAAATTTACAAAACTGTGATTTATAGATTTTTACATTGTCATTTAAAAGTTATGTGTCATTTTCAATGATAAGCTGTGGTATATAAATATAAAATTTATATAATTTACAAACTTTCGTCATAAGGAGAAAGTATCTGTTTAGAAGTATTTTACATTGAATTTGCAGTGTAATAAAGGAAGCGATAGAATACCTGAAGGGCAGTCCGTGTACATGAAAGGTAAATACGCTGCATCATAAATAATGACATAAATAAAACAACAGTTTTTAATTCGAAAATAACGTGATGAAATGGTTCACTTACAATTTCTTGTTGATTATCATATATAATCTATATTTAGTTGACAGATTTTGGCTTTTCTTTTAAGTACATGTACATAGAGTGGATGTTATATTTAAAGTCTATTATTGGTTTTTGGGTGAAATACAATATTAAAGCAAACATAATTGACGATTAAGGGACATGAACATCAACAACAAAGAAAACCACCCACCCACACACACACAAACACAGGTTTTTGATTAAAGAGTAATTCATGTTTGTG